TACATAATGAAATGGACAGATTTATCATTTTATAAGAAAAAATTTGGGAAAGATTTATAAATTCAGGACAACTTGGCTTATTAGGCAAATCGGGCCTTGCATAGTAGGCCATGTACGACGTTCTGGCTACTAGTTACAACATATATATATATATTTATATATAAAGGGGTGGTGGGAGTAGACAAGATGTACAAGTGCGAGAGAGAGAGAACCTTATTCGAATGGATTAATAGGCCATATGCATATTATTTTATTCTCGGGCTATAAAGGAGCTTAAAATTATGATCAAAATTGTGATAGAAGATGTATATCAAGTTAATTAAAATTTGCATTACATTTCATTGAAATTAATTGTGTGTATATTAGTCATACAACAAGTCACTTAATGTATGACAGAGATGAAATCTTTGTATTTTTCATGGCAGACGTCTCAATGACACTCTCCGTCTGAGTCAGTGATTACCTGCGGTTAAGTGTTAAATGATCTTGCCAGCGTCGTGACGAGTGATGCAAAATTTTCTGGAGAAGTCACTGTCATCCCCTGAATCTCCAACACATACTTCAATGGAAATTAAAAAATAATAGCTTGTGTTTGTAAATTAGTTGATCCTCATATATCATAGAGAAGAAAATACATGAGAGTCTAAAATTGCCTCTAAGTCATATAAGTATTGGTCTAGTTCTAAAACCGTGGATGTGATAAGAAGAAACTCAGTTGCGGCCTTCGTTGTATCGAAAGAATTGGAAGTCAAAGATGGCAACGGGTCGGAAGTAGAAGATGGCGTCGAGTCGGAAGCAGAAGGTATTGGGTCAGACGCAGATGTTATCGCTAGTGAATTTAGGACGAAATGTAGAAATATTATCATGTTTAGCAACCTGTAATCGAAAAAAAAACGAAAAGATTTCAACGAGACAGCAGCACCGAATCCAGGCTATTATTGACAACCTCCGACTTCTAATGCAAAATCTTATAACTAATTAGGTACAGAGGTAAATTTGTACGGAGCTGGAATCGTTCATCTTCGTCCAGGCTGAACGAGGATCGACGATTCTCTGATAACGAAATAACGAGCACTCTGTCGAGAGTGCTCGTTACTGGTATTGGTCAATCGTTCAAGACTCTTGATCCGGGTTACAGTGCTGGGCATCATGGTCATAAGACAAAGTTACAGAACGCTCAGAGGCATGCCACCAGACAAGTCACGGAGCTGAGAGGTATGAGTTACGAGGAAAGACTGCTGGAATTAAACCTGATATTATTAGAAGACAGAGGAGTTTAGGCAAGACATTGGACTAAAGACAAAGGAGTTTGGGAATTGACAGGGTAGATAAACACAAATAATTTAGCATAAGTGGAACACAAACTAGGGGACATAAGTGAAAACTTAATAATCAAATGAGCCATAAAGATGTAAGACTTTTCACTAAGTGTTAGATTAGTTAACAAATGGAGTGCATTAGTACGTGATGTGGTGGAGGCAGACACAATACTGAGTTTCGAATGTTGATATAATAGAATCCAATAGGCTTAGAAACCTGTACAGCAGTTGACTGAAAATTAAGAGGACACCCCGTCCTCAATCTATGTTCATTCCATCCAGCGGTCAACCCCAATGATGCATTCATCAATTTTAACATGCTGTTCATTCAAGATAGGAATTTTATCATATATAAATTAATATTATTGAATATTAGCATATTGTGCATATTTAGGCATTGGTTAGGTTAAGTTAGGTGTTAGGGATCTTTTGGCGATAATTTGTAGTTGTAGCATGTAGGTGAAGTATTTACAGTGTTCCGATTCGAACAAAAATCATCAGCGAAGCACTGCTCGAGAAAAAATAGAACGTCATCAGTTATGAGTCGTGTATAAGCCGTATTTAATTCATAAACCAGTGATTTAATGGGTGCATGGAATCACTTTTGGCCTTTGTTTAAGAGAACTGGCAATTTGAGGAGGACTTAAAGTGCTGAAGAATTAAAAGCTGTCTTCAGTCCACCTGAAGCTTTTTCGTTAATACAAAAGTGGACTTATACGCCGAGCGTGTTATTAACTTTGTCTGTAAAAAGGAAAAAATAATCATAGAGATAAAATGAAGTTAATATATTTCGATCCAAATCATAGTGAACATTTTTCACAGAGACCGTCAAGTGGGTAACCTTCCTCCATCAAGCTTCCATACAGCACACTCCTTCAAGAACAACCACCAAACGAGTAGAGACAATAGGAACTGTCAGTCTCCTTAGCTTAAAAAAATCGATGTTCTTTGGCAAGAAATAACTAAGGCGCTTGACTGGGCCAAGTGTTAGCGTATACAACAACTATCGCATATCGTTAATGACTGACTTAAGACACAACCGTATTTATTTGAGGGTCTCAGTAGTACAGTCGGCTTCGTTCTCGACGTACTAATCGAGAATTCCGTGATGGAATCCCGGGCGGAACAGAAATGGTTGGGTACATTTCCTTTCACCTAATTCATCTGTTCACCTAGCAGTAATGAGTTAATCAGCTAGATGTGGGATTGCATCCTGGGCGGTGTCAGTATTTCGACTTTAAGGGGCGAGGGACCACGATATACGCCTAACGTGTAAGAATACTCTCTGGCTTCCTGTCCCGGACACAATGAATTATAATTGTGAAAGATTAACCCGAGCGTTCTCCGAGGTTCACATTATTCGCCCCTAAACCCGGTACGGTACCTGCGGACATGGGTGTAAAACAATAAGGAGATTGTATAATAGGGGAAAATGTGAGGATGACTAACCTAATCTGTTCCGGAACCTGAGACGAAAGTCCTAGTCTCATAATTAAAGAAAAAAATATATATTATAAAAGATGTTAATATTAACTTTAACAGGTACTTGTTTTAATATGTAAACAGATATTAACACAATTTGACCGTATTAAAAACAAAAACAAGCAGCTTCACAATAAATATTAAACGATTTTTCGTGAAATCTCTCTCGGTTTAAATGCATTTAACAATTGACAATAAGCAGTGAAGGAATTTGAAATTGCCTGCTTAACTTTATTCTTCAGGTCTTGAGTGTAATGTAAGACAATGAGACGATGAAAAGCGGTCCGTGGCGCAACAGATAAACAGCACTTTTATACTTGTGGCAGCCTTAGACTTGCGTGACGAGATCATCGCAGGTATATAAGCTCATCACCGCTGCTCATCAGTCAGTCTCTGACAACACTTGGTTCTCCCAGCATCAGCATGGTAAAGCTTCTTCCACTTCTTTCCATCTTCACGATGACTCTGAAGGGTATTGAACAACACTTTGATGGAACCGAAACTTACTTTTTTAAAACAAATCATTCCGAACATTATAGTTCATTTTCATTATTAACTTCATATATTCATCCAAGTGTTGTATCATTGCATCACTGAACATTATGTTATTGGTATTGAAGAACACAGTGTTGGCAAGATATAGGACACCATGTGGAGAGTAGACACTGGAAGTATGTCGCATCGGCCTGCATCGTCTACTCTCTTGCTGCTTCTCCTCATCAAATAGTCTATTCATATTTTGCTGATACAGCGAGAAGCACAAGGTTATGGTGACGTTTTTATAACCAACAGGAGAGCGTTTTGTACTCGGCTGAATGCCATCATAGTACTTTTAGTCACCTCTTTATTTTCCACTTGCTGCCCGATTGACTGATTTAAGCAACCCAAGCGGTGGCATGGGCATGAATATCCCGTAACTCGCTGCCTCCCCATTAGTGCCCCTTCACGGTGGATGTGATCTTTATCCCGGAAACACTTCAGAATGTTGTTTTAGATTCAGGTACTAGCAACCAATTCCAAGTAGCACTGGCTATTGTGAGCTCGTAGTGGACTTACCTGGCACAGGAGCGGGGCAAGTAGCACGGGCTATGTTGAGCCCATAGTGGACTTACCTGGCACAGGAGCGGTGCCGTGTGTGCCCGTTCAGAATATTAATTGTCATTATATACGTATCAGGGTGAGTGAGGTGAGACTGTCTGCACTCATTGTGAAGATAATGAGTGAAATGCAGGCGATGAGTCACAATAACGTGGCTAAAGTAAGTTGACCAGACCACACACTAGAAGGTGAAGGGACGACGACGTTTCGGTCCGTCCTGGACGATTCTCAAGTCGATTGTCTGGACCATTCACAATCGACTTGACAACGGTCCAGGACGGACCGAAAAGTTGTCGTCCCTTCACCTTCTAGTGTGTGGTCTGGTCAACATGAGTGAAATGAGATGAGTGAGGGTGAGATGGGTGTAGGGTAGGGAAGATGAGACTCGGTGCAGGGTGAGTGAGATGAGACTAGGGTAGGGTGAGCGGCCAGGGTGCGCTGGTCTGCCTCACAAACATCCGGGCGCCAACTTACTGTTAATGACTAAACTACTCTCATGTTTCTCTTGAACTTACAGAGGTTGGCGTTAGTGTTCCTGGGTGTGGCGTTGCTGGCCGCCTCCACCTGCGCCCTGCCAGGTGGCAGTGGAGCCTATGGTGGCGGTGGTGGAGGAGGAGGATCCGGAGGCGGAGGGTATGGAGGTGGTGGCAGCAGTGGAGGCGGTGGCGGCAGTGGAGGTGGATCGGGAGGCTTCGTCGGTGGATTTGGTGGAGGTGGAGGCTACAGTGGCGGCACGTCATTTGCTGTTTTTAACCTTGGAAGTCATGGAAGTGGGTCCAGTGGAGGAGGCTCTGGAGGTGGCGGCTTCGGCGGAGGCGGCTACAATGGTGGCAGCTCTGGAGGTGGCGGCTACAGTGGTGGCAGCTCTGTAGGTGGCGGCTTCGGCGGTGGCGACTCTGGAGGTGGCGGCTTTGGCAGTGGCGGCTCTGGAGGTGGCGGCTACAGTGGTGGCAGCTATGGAAAATAAATGTGCATTATTTTAACATTTATTTATTAAATATTATATAACATTAAATTATCAAGTTAATAATAATAATTAATACACGTAATAACAATAAGGTTTTTATTTTATTGAAGGCGTTCAAACATTAACATCCATATAACAAGTTAAAAATATACGAATTACCATGAAAGCTCCCAATAAAAGACCTTAAAAAAATATGTATTCATCTCTGTACCGCCACGCTGAGGCGCTGGGGTACAGAGGGGTTTAATTGATCTATTAATTGATCATTTAAAGGGCGATTTAAGTAGGATCATTGGAACACGTTTGTCTCACTAATTCATTGTAAATATTTACTATCTTATGCTATGATTATCCATGTGTGGACCTGTGTGTGGTTATGAATGGGAGCTGCATCGGATGGGCCAATAGGCCCTCTGCAGTTTTTGTGTGGCTCATATTTGTGTCCACTTATTGTACCTCACTTCACTCCACCATTCTCTCCTGCCTATTTATGTCCAGTACTCGACCTGTAAAACCACTCCTTCTGAAGATGTATTAATATACATAAGTACTTAAGGAAATTCCTGTTTCAATTTTCCTCCGTGGTCTGACACTGTCACATTTTTAATCACGTGTTTATTTTCGTGATATACAACACACACAAACACACACACACACACACACACACACACACACACACACACACACACACACACATATATATATATATTTATATATACATACATACATACATACATACATACATATATATATATATATATACATATATATATATATATATATATATATATTATATATATATATATATATATTATATATATATATCTCTATATATATATATATATATATATATATATATATATATATATATATATATATATAGATATATATATATATATATATATATATATATATATATATATATATATATATATATATATATATATATATATATATATATATATATGTCGTACCTAGTAGCCAGAACGCACTTTTCAGCCTACTATGCAAGGCCCGATTTGCCTAATAAGCCAAGTTTTCCTGAATTAATATGTTTTCTCTAATTTTTTTCTTACGAAATGATAAAGCTACCCATTTCATTATGTATGAGGTCAATTTTTTTTAATGGATTTAAAATTAACGTAGATATATGACCGAACCTAACCAACCCTACCTAACCTAACCTAACCTATCTTTATAGGCTAGGTTAGGTTAGGTAGCCGAAAAAGTTAGGTTAGGTTAGGTTAGGTAGGTTAGGTAGTCGAAAAACAATTAATTCATGAAAACTTGGCTTATTAGGCAAATCGGGCCTTGCATAGTAGGCTGAGAAGTGCGTTCTGGCTATTAGGTACGACATATATATATATATATATATATATATATATATATATATATATATATATATATATATATATATATATATATATATGTTTTCGCACCCAAGTTACTCCCCTTGTTTCGTGTTCTGTCTTGTATTTGTCACCTCACCCAAAACCTTTGTACCATATCACCTCACCCAAAAAACGAGTACAACTATGTTAAATTTGTATGTATAAACTAAGGCTTTGAAAATGTAATAAGAATTACGAGACGCATTCAGGAATCAGACCATAAATAAACATGAATTTTGGAGAATTGATATTTCAATTACCATCGACGGTGAAGAGAAACATTAGAAATATTGAGAAAATTCGTGTTAGAATTATTAATCTTACCTTTTCGGTCATATTCAACAGCGTATGTTTACAAGAAAGACTGCTACCAATATATATATATATATATATATATATATATATATATATATATATATATATATATATATATATATATATATATATATATATATATATATATATATATGCAGAATAACCACATATGAAAAACAGAAAATGCTTAACGCGTTTTCGGCTAATTCGCCTTCATCGAGCAAAGTAGAATCAATCTTCTTGATTCTACTTTGCTCTGATGAAGGCGAATTTGCCGAAAACGCGTTAAGCATTTTCTATTTTTCATATGTGGTTATTCTGCATACTTGGATCAGTGTTTTTGTGATCATTGTTGCATATATATATATATATATATATATATATATATATATATATATATATATATATATATATATATATATATATATATATATATATATATATATATATATATATATATATTAGTATATTTTGGTAGTCTTGCCTGTAGACATATATTATTAAATATGACCGAAAAAGTAAGATTAATAATTCTAACACGAATTTTCTCAATCTTTCGTACATTTCTTTTCACTGTTGGAGGTAAATCAAAAATCAATTCTCCAAAATTCATTTTTTATTTCTAGTCTGACGCGACACGAACGCGTTTCGTAAAACTTATTACATTTTCAAAGACTTTAGTTTACAAATACACAACTGAATAGAACTTACGCATCTCCGATTTTATATCTACATTTGAGAGAGGTGGATGGGGTGAGGTGGCATTAATAGGGTATTAATTTCATCAACACAAGACAGAACAAGAGGTGGAATTAATAGGGTATTAATTCTTGAGGTGGGTAGAATATAGTTGTGCATTAATTGGCTGTTGATTGCTGGTGTTGACTTCTTGATGTGTAGTGCCTCGCAAACGTCAATCCGCCTGCTATCACTGTATCTATCGATGATTTCTGTGTTGTTTACTAGGATTTCTCTGGCGATGGTTTGGTTGTGGGAAGAGATTATATGTTCCTTAATGGAGCCCTGTTGCTTATGCATCGTTAAACGCCTAGAAAGAGATGTTGTTGTCTTGCCTATATACTGGGTTTTTTGGAGCTTACAGTCCCCAAGAAGGCATTTGAAGGCATAGACGACGTTAGTCTCTTTTAAAGCGTTCTGTTTTGTGTCTGGAGAGTTTCTCATGAGTAGGCTGGCCGTTTTTCTGGTTTTATAGTAAATCGTCAGTTGTATCCTCTGATTTTTGTCTGTAGGGATAACGTTTCTATTAACAATATCTTTCAGGACCCTTTCCTGCGTTTTATGAGCTGTGGAAAAGAAGTTCCTGTAAAATAGTCTAATAGGGGGTATAGGTGTTGTGTTAGTTGTCTCTTCAGAGGTTGCATGGCGTTTCACTTTCCTTCTTATGATGTCTTCGACGAAACCATTGGAGAAGCCGTTGTTGACTATGACCTGCCTTACCCTACAGAGTTCTTCGTCGACTTGCTTCCATTCTGAGCTGTAGCTGAGTGCACGGTCGACATATGCGTTAACGACACTCCTCTTGTACCTGTCTGGGCAGTCGCTGTTGGCATTTAGGCACATTCCTATATTCGTTTCCTTAGTGTAGACTGCAGTGTGGAAGCCTCCGCTCTTTTCCATGACTGTTACATCTAGAAAGGGCAGCTTCCCATCTTTTTCCATCTCGTAAGTGAAACGCAGCACGGAACTCTGCTCAAATACCTCCTTCAGCTCCTGCAGCTGTCTGACATCAGGTACCTGTGTAAAAATGTCGTCAACATACCTGCAGTATATGGCCGGTTTCAAGTTCATGTCGACTAAGACTTTTTGCTCGATGGTACCCATGTAGAAGTTTCCAAACAGGACACCTAGGGGAGAACCCATGGCGACCCCATCTACTTGCTTATACATGTGCCCATCCGGGCTCAAGAAGGGTGCCTCTTTAGTACAAGCTTGGAGTAGTTTCCTCAGAATATTTTCTGGTATGTCAAGAGGAGTACAGGCTGGATCACGATACACTCTGTCGGCTATCATTCCGATTGTCTCGTCCACAGGTTCGTTGGTAAACAGCGATTCTACGTCCAACGAGGCTCTTATCCCTGTGGCCCGTGTGCCCCGCAGTAAGTCAACAAATTCCTTTGGAGACTTCAGGCTGAAGGCGCAAGGAACATAAGGAGTCAGCAGGCCGTTGAGTCGCTTCGCCAGTCTGTACGTGGGTGTGGGTATCTGGCTAATGATTGGCCGAAGTGGGTTTCCAGGCTTGTGTGTCTTGACATTTCCATACGCATATCCAGGTTTATATTCCCCAATGATCTTTGGCAGGTGGAGTCCGGATTTCTTGGCATTCACAGTTTCGATCAGTTTGTTGACCTTTGCTTTTAATTCGGCTGTAGTGTCCTTCGTTACCCTTTGGAACTTAGTTTGGTCAGAGAGTATGAGGTTCATTTTCGCCAGATATTCGTCTTTTTTAAGAATGACATATATTGGCGACTTGTCACCTCTCCTGACAACTATCTCCTTGTTCTCACGAAGGCTTTTAGCTGCCGCTTTGAGCTCGGGGGACAGTATGGTGCTTCTGTAATTGCCTCGATTCTTTCCTCCTTCTGCAATAAGTCCTCCCATAACACCCCAACAGTCTTCCTGTCCTCCCACTAGTGAACTTTGTTCTAACTCTTACTCTATACACACAAAACATGACGACTTGCTAGTGATGATTACTCATTAGCAAATGCTGAGTAATGTGTAAATATGTAACTAAAGTCATCTGAGTATGTGAGTATCCAAGGCGAGTAATGATGAAGGGAGTATCCAAGGGATGGGAAGCTGCCCATGAAGTTAAAGAGCGGAGGCTTCCACACTGCAGTCTACACTAAGGAAACGAATATAGGAATGTGCCTAAATGCCAACAGCGACTGCCCAGACAGGTACAAGAGGAGTGTCGTTAACGCATATGTCGACCGTGCTCTCAGCCACAGCTCAGAATGGAAGCAAGTCGACGAAGAACTCTGTAGGGTAAGGCAGGTCCTAGTCAACAACGGCTTCTCCAATGGTTTCGTCGAAGACATCATAAGAAGGAAAGTGAAACGCCATGCAACCTCTGAAGAGACAACTAACACAACACCTATACCCCCTATTAGACTATTTTACAGGAACTTCATTTCCACAGCTCATAAAACGGAGGAAAGGGTCCTGAAAGATATTGTTAATAGAAACGTTATCCCTACAGACAAAAATCAGAGGATACAACTGACGATTTACTATATAACCAGAAAAACGGCCAGCCTACTCATTAGAAAC